TATATATATATATATATATATATATTTATATAAACGTTACTCACAATTAAAGGTTTTTTCGGTAAGAATTTGTTCATTAACCAAAATACCGCAAGAATCAAACTGATTAGCATACAAATTGGATATAAAAAAAAGAAAATATTCCATTCCCCAAATATGATTGGCAAATTTTCGTTAATTTCACGTTGATGATCACGATGAACTCGATTAAATATATCGGTAATTAATAATAGAAGCTGTATAAAAAGAGAGAAAAAAAGAAATTGTTTTTAGAAAAGAGTTTGATACACGATAATGAGGTAAACATTTATTATTTTTTAATTGAATCAGTATTTACAAATTAGAACGATTTAACAAAAAAAAAAGTAGGTCACGAGGTTAAAATAAAAAAAAAAATGCACACATTCTCGGAAGATGGTATTATAATTCATGCTTTTTAACTCGATACCGATGATATGAAATAATAATAAAAAAAATAAAAATAAAAATTTTAAGTAAAGAAAGATTTTCCTGAAACAATTAAAAATCAAAATGGAGATGTTTAATTTGTTGTTCGATAAGAATGCGTGTATGTGTCGGATTACATAAAATCCGTGAAAAAAAAAAAAAGAATTATTGCGTGCGCGTATTCTGATTCACCTTCATTCTCATACATGCATATATTACATATGTAATATAATATAATATATATATATGTGTGTTATATTATACTTACACACTTATATTCATTCGTTCGTTCCTCTCAAAATTGGGTCAACTCGCTTCCGCGTTTTCTTTGCGTCAAGCAAGTCGTTTCGAAGCGAGTAATGCGAGTTGTTATACGACATATAATATATATATATACACGCATGTATAATACATACACATATACATATATTATTCATAATACATAAATGACCCAGAAGTGATAATCTCGATGCGTCGGAATGGTTCCGAGTAAGTCCGAAGGATCTTTTCTTTTTTTTTTTTTTGTTTTTTAAAAAGTTCATGTGTGTGTATTATCCATGACGTAATACAAAACGATAAGTTGGTACTCTAATTTCTTATTGAAGTATTTTTTTACCGTCTATTAGTCTCTTTGTTATTTAAGATTACAAATTTTGTCGAGAATTTGAAACACGTGTTATACTTTTTAACCTAATTACAATTGAAAGATCAAGTTACGTAGGAAACTTGAAAATGAATTTTTATTTAATTTGGAACTCGTTCTTTTTGGTGATATTTATTTTTGTAAATAACTATCATCAATCATAAGATAAAAATTATTTTTATATTATATAAATACTACGATTGAATTGGATCTAAAAATATTATAAAAATAAAGAAATTAAAATCACGTGGAAAAAGTTAGGTTCGTTTTGCATGTATATTGTAATAAATTATTATTATATATTATATATATATACATATATATATATGTATATTTATGCATGTATTTATGTGTGATATCTTACAAATTGCACTAAATTCAACGTGGCGTGTACAATGTGAGAAAGTTTCTTATTCCTTTGGAATTTACGATCGGTTCTATGATAAATGCTCGCGATTTTGGCAGCCTCACGTAGATTACGTAACTCGTAAACTTCCTCTTTCACCTTAATCTTGGAAATTTTATTATCACTATTAATCTCTATGGGCATATCCATCATCGATTAAAAGAATTTTCATTTCTTTCTTATTTTTTTTTTTTTTTTTTTTTTTTCATTAATTCCTAGAACTATTCACGATTATAACCTAAATTCCAATTTGTTATATGTATTATTTGTAATAAAACAAATGATATCTCCAATTCGATTTGACGTTTATACAATTTTTAAATTAATATATTATTATTAGATGCACAACGAATCGAAGTAAATTTTTAGTAGATAAAACAAAAGAAATCAAATGTTTATACCAGTGGATCATCAATGTGGAATGTGTCAGCAACGTGTTCCAGACGATTCAAAAAAAGCTTAGGCTTTTTTAAAGATTCAAAAAAGCTTAGACTTTTTTTAGGCTTGTTTAAGATAAATAAAAAAGAAAATAAAAGAAAATGAAAGAAAAATAAATAGGAATGGAAAGAAGGAATAAAATATTTGACCACTTGTTCGTCTCGTTATATTCGTCTCGACTGAATTTTTCATACCTAAAAAAGATCTAACGTGTGTTGATTCACCCACATATACTGAGTTTTATTATTATAATACTTGGAAGAATGCTTTTAGGTTATGGCAGGTATAAGATGAGTGATTCTTTCTTTCTCTCTCTCTCTCTCTCTCTCTCTCTCACACTCTCTCTTTGTCTCTCTCTATCCTTCTTTTTCACTTTCTTTTTTGTCGACATTTTTTCCTTGTATTTTATCTTTTTATTGCATTCCTACCTCGTGCCCTACAGACAGGAACAATGTTAATTTTTCATTCATTCATTCATTCCTATCATCATCATCCATCTTTTTTCATTAGTATTTTCAAAAAATATAAATTTTGTAGACAATTGCATTTCTTACAAAAAAGATCTTTTACATAGTTATTGTATCTCCCCCCAAAAAAATTAGAAAAATAATAAACAATCCATTGCACAATTTCAAAGTAAAATTTCGATGCAATAATTTTGGATTTAACTTAACATTTTATTATTTAACTAAGTATTGTATTTTTTGCTTTTAATTTTTCTTTAATCCTTTTCTATATTTTTTGGGTACTTTTTTGTATTTTTTGATACATCAAAAATATTAGAATTAATTTCAAAGTAAAATTGCAACACAACAAACTTGTACACGAATTTTTCATTTGGCCTAACATTTTTTTTTAATTTTCGTTCATTTTTCTTTCTTTTTCAACATTATTTTATTTTTATTTTATTTTTTATTTTTTGTCTTTAATCTTTTTCCCTTTTTTTTTTTTTTTGTATTTTTTTGGTACATTAAAAATATCGTAATAAGTTTCAAACTGGAAGGAATGTTTTTTCTAGAAATAGAAGTTAAGTTTTGAAAGTGTCGAAGGGAGAAACACGGAATTAACGGATAAACGAGAGCGAGAACGATAAACCATGATATTATAGTAAAGAGAAAATAGAAAAAGGATAAGTGCACATTATAGAGACACGGGACTCTACGGATAGCAAAGAAATACTTTCGTTAATGAAAGCGAACGCCAGAATAACGGCCGGTAAGGGGCCATACTAACAATCCTTTCGAATGTGTGTTCCTTGCGCAATATTTCCGACACGTAAACGTGAAATCGATCTTTCGAATTTTTCTTGCTTTCTTTCTTTCTTTCTTTCTTTCTTTTCTTTTCTTTCTTCCCCTTTCACTCCTTTCCTTCTCCTTTTATTATTTTTTTTTTTTCGTGAACGTAAAATTTAAAAAAAAAAAAAAAGATTAAAATCCGGTATCAATGTCTGTTCAATTTAATTTCATTCTAATTTGATCGTAAACATTTTTATTAAAATTTTAATTATTTTTTAATGATAAACTTTTGTAGGGTGGATTAATAGTAATTTTTTATTAAATAATTTAATTAATATAAAAAAAAAAAATAGAATATAATATGTAATAATATGTTAAATTATTTAATATTTTTTTAATTTTAATTTAATGTAATTTAATTTTTTTTTGTAATTTAATTTTAATTTTTATGGTTTCCTTTAATTAATCTCATCTATAAAAAAAAATTTCACACTCACCTAAATGTAAAAAATCTTGTTAACAAATTTAATCCAAATTACAAGAATGGTATTATCTTATTTTTAAATTATTTATACGATAAGAATTTTGAAATAAAAAATATTATAATTAATGATAAAAACAATTTTTATATTTCAATTTATATGTGAGATATTTTAATGTCAAAAGATGCACACGTGTTCTTATACAACCGATTTAAACGTCTAAGTATGTGAAATAATGAAAAAGTATACAGAAACATCTCTTTTTATTTTTCTCTCTCCCTTTTTTTTACATTTATTTTTCTTTTCTTTTTTTTTCTAATAAAAGGGAGATGAAAAAGAAGCTCAGAATGGATTCCATAAGATCGCTTCATCGTCAATGGCGCCGTTTCTCCTTTCTCCAACATATCCAGACAACCTTGGTACTTGTATACACGTATTCAACACAGAAAAGTACTATTAGGTTTTTCTCTTTTTTTTTTTTATCAAACAACAGTAAATTTTCAATGTATTCATCATCATTATCATCATCATTATCATCATTATCATTATCATTATTATGATCATTGAACTGCGGTAAAATTTGAAAAAAAAAGAAATTTTTAAAAATCATTTGACATCTTGTGAAAATATACATACGAACAGCTGTTATTAACTTAAACGATAAGTTTTACGTATTATTTATGGATATTTTTATATACATATGTGTACCTATATGTGTATATGTACACATGCTTTAAAACGAGTTTATTAAAAGAGTTATATTATCTTTTTGGAATATTTATTTATAAATAATGCGTATCGCGATTAAATACCGAAAGAAAGAGGATAATAAAACGTCAGGGATATTTCATTTCTTCCACTCGTTGTTGCATTTGGTGTCATTTTAATTACGTTCCTTCAAAATATAAAAAAAAAAAAAAAAAATAAAGAACAAAAAGAGAAAGTGTGTGTCTGTGTGTGAAAATGGGGAAGAGTAAGAGAGAGAAAAAGAAACAGAAAGAGAAATGAGGCGCCACTTAGGTTTAAATAAAAAGAAAAAAAAATATATAATAAATTACGAGACCAAAATTTACAAATAAACAATACGATGAAAGAGATAATACAAAATTAAAAAAAAAAAACAAAAGATAGAAATTGTTAATAGATTTATTTAATTTTGTTTTTTCTTTTTATTCGTGATGCACATTTCGAAATTTTGGTAATGGAAAAAAATAACATAATAAAGAATAGAATATAAAAAATTTGTTTATATCGTTTTTAGGGTCCTTCAACCTTGCCCCCTCTCAAACCGTCGTTTAATCTTTCGTATCTTTTTCACTCTGGGTCCCTAGGGGTCATTCGCACGATTTTGTGAGTGGTGGAAATTTGTCCAAGAAAAAAGAAAAAAGAAAAAGAGGGAACAATTTGTTAGGGACGTAGCTGTAAGTTCTTGATGTGGGTTCAGAAAAAAAAAAAAAAAGAAAAAGAAAAAAAAAACAGAAAAAGGTATATACTAACAAAAGAGTGAAAAGGGAAGGTGGGGGTTTTAGTGAAAAAAAAAAAAAAAACAGGTTTTCTAAGGTGAATTCTTCTTGAGATTAAATATATATTTGTTGAGAAAAGCAATAAGAGAAAAAGAAAATAAGAAAAAGATGGGATGACAGAGATAAAAAAAGAAAAAAGGAAAAGAAGAAAATGTTGACATGGTCAAATAAAAGTTTGTTCTAACAAAAAAACATCCCTCTTCTCTTTGAAAAATCAATGATCTTGTTGCTGACTTTCGAAACATGTCCAAAATCTTTTATTACATTCATGTAAATACTTTCATTTAAATTTATTTATTTATATTATTTTTATTGAATTGAATAATAGAAAAGGGTTTTACAAGTTTCTCTACGTGTTCTCTATTGACTTTATGGTTATTATAGTGTATAATAAAAATGTTGACATTTTTTAAAAATAATATAAAGAAAAAAATGAATAAATAAAGATGAAATAAAAATGTAATATGAAATAAAATGAAAAGAAAGGAAGAAAGGAGGGAAGGAAGGAATAAAGTGAAATGAATCAAACATAAAACACATGTCAAGTGGAAAGCTTTGCATATCCAAAGAGAATGATCAATTCAAGGTTAAAAGAAAATTTATGTTCGCTAAATCCGACAAACTTCGTTGTCGTAGGATGAAAATCAAAATGATCCTCGTCTTAACGATCAACTACAAAAGTCATTCGAAAGACAATTATTTGCCCTTTCTCTTTATTGGGGGTTTCATAAAATAAAAAGTTTTACGAACGCAACAGGGGATGATGGTATAATGGAATAAGGATGATAATAATAATGCTAAACATGTCCTTTTCTACTGCAGTTTTTTTTTTTTTTTGATAAGAGAAAACACGTTGGACATACACTTTCCATCAAAAGTTTTCACAATCAATAGGGAAATTTATTTAAATAAAAAAATTGTATGTTCTATATTTTGTATTTTTGATTTATTTTATAGTTCGAAGAAATTGTTTTTCGTTTTTTTCTTTTTTTTTTTTTTTCAAGAGTATTATTTTCGTGTATTTTAAATAATTTTTTTTTTTTTTTCTATTGAGTTTCTTGTCTATTTTTATCTTTGTAAAATGTTTAAGAATAAAATAAATTTTAATTAATTATTTATTTTAAATTAATTTAGTTATAATTAAAAAAGTGTAGATAATTTTAAACATACAAATTTTTGACGAACTATACGTAAAACTTTGGACACTGTATATACACATGTACACATGAGTGAGATACTTCTATGTCACAACCATCAAAAACTAATCGATATTTTCATCGTATGGGAAAACGTAATAACGAGTACACCAGAGCATAACGTTCTGGTTATATTCTCAATTCCACCATCTCCATGGGATTATAATATTTCTTCAGTTGTCTCTCGTATTTCTCTCTCATGGGGGAAAAAAAAAAAAACATATACAACCCTTTCCTATTTCATCCTTTTTTTATTGTTTTTTTCTACTCGAAAAC